TCATCAGAACCCTCTGAGTCTTTGCCATCTAGTGCCTTCATCCAACACTCAAGTTCATTTGGGGGTGGTCATTTGGGCTGTGGCATTTTCAGTAAATAAGAGGTGCAGCAAGTACGAATGGCAAAGAGAAGCAGGTCTCCCAAGGATGGAGCAGCCCCCGCCACCTGCCCAGCCTACTGCTGTGTGATCCTGAGCATTCAGCTGTGAGCCCTCACCACACTGCACTTTCGAGGGTTCAGTCTTCAGTGTGCCTAGGAATAAACCTTCCATCTCCCGTCCCTCCAGTCAGAATGTCAAAGGTCTAGGGTGACCTTACATGTGGCTTTTTACTTCTATTTATGTGTACATGTATGTGTATACACGTGTACATGAGTGCCTCCTGAGGCTGGAAGAGAGTGTTGGATCCCCTGGAGCTGGTGTTACAAGTGGTTATGAGCCCTTGGATGTAGATGCTTAGAACCGAACTCAGATTCTCTGAAAGAGCAGCAAGTGCTCTTAACTGCTGAGCCATCTCTCCAGGGTCCGGATACGGCATTTTTTAGGTAGTTCAAACACTATCTGTTCCTTTCCTCAACTGGGAAACTTTGCTACTTGGGTCTGAGAGTCACAGATGGGTTTCATTAATAAAACAATAGACAACTTCTGAATGGCCATCTTCGTATAATGGCCACACCAGCAGAGCCCATGTCTGAGTCTGGGCTCGAATGTCTCACACCCTCAGCATCTGCAGGTCACCCTTCCACCCACAGACTGACGCTGTCCTAGTGAGCTAAGGCTGGTGTCTGCCCTGCACTGGCCCATGAGGAGCCGCTGGAATGATCAATGAGACTGGGCTGCCAGACCCCTGCTGGTTGCCTGTGAATCAGTCACCCCTGCCATGCTGGATCCATCTCCTCGGAACAGAAATCACTTGAGCTGCACCCAGCCAGGCTGACTCGCGTCTGGCTAATGGCTTTTCTGTGTCATGCATCGACCTTGGCACCCTACATTTTTTATATGTGAGTGGGTTGGAGACCATCTGCTCGTAGACTCCGCCCTTCTATAAACCTTCTAGCAAGGCCGTTGACAGGACTTCGAGTTGGGGGGGGGTGGCTTCTGAGACCACACGTCTAAAACTTGAGATGAAAACCACGTAACATGAAATTAGCCCTTTTTAAAAGTTTTTTTTGATTAGCATGTATTGATTATATGTGATGTTTTCATATATATTCAATGCATTTTCTCATATTCATCGCTCCATTACCCTCCTTTGCCCCCCCCCTCCCATATGTCCCCTTCCTCTTCCCAACCAATCTCTCTTCTGCTTTCTTTTCCTGTTTGGTGAACCTCTGAGTTTCATGAGGGTTGCTTACAGGAGCTCGGGGGAGGGGTTATTTAGAGGATCATGGGCAACTGACACGTGACTACACCACTGAAGAGGACTCTCACCCAGCAACCATGAACTGCCCAGAGATCCTCAGGGAGACGTGGAGCCTTGTGAACCCGTATTTTTTTCCCCGTGCTATGATTCAATCAGGGCCTTGGGCATGCTATGCATGTACTCCAGCACCGTGCTCCACCTTCAAACAACCCCTTAGAGTGAAAAGTTCATCTGGTATCATCCTAATGTAGGACTCTATCCTCGACCCAGAGCCTGTCATTACTCCTTCCAAGAGAAACTTCGGACTGATTGAGCTAGTTGTGTGAGTGTGTTTGTTCTTGTGAGTGTGGATGTGCACGTGTGTGTTAGGGAGGATCACGCATATACTTGTGATAGCAAGCATGTTGAGATCAGAGGGCAACTTTCAGGAGTCAGTTCTCCCCTTCCATCTTTATGTGGCTTCTGGGGTTTGAACTCAGGGTGCCAGGCTTGTGTAGCCAGCACCTTTGCCTGCCGAGCCATCTCACCAGCACTCTATTTTATTTTTTGAGACAGACTGGAATTGAGGTGTGCGGCACCATGTTCAGCTTTTTACAGGGGTGCTGGTTATCTACCTCAGGATCTCAGGCTTGCCCTGTGAGCTGTTACTGTCTGAGCTATCACCCCACCCCCTGTACTGGGTTTTCAGGGCTGCCTGACCAAGCAGCCTATGCTGAATAGCTAAACTACAGCTGTCCATCTTCTCCCAAGCCTGGAGGCCAGAAATGAAGTGTCAGCAAGGTGGTTTTTACTGAAAGCTTAGGGTGGGGGCATCTGTCCCAGGCTACCCATGCCTCATGTCACAGTCCTGTACCTGTCTGCCTCTGTATTCAAATCTCTTGTATATAAATGCACCAGTCATACTGGGTTAAGGTCTATCCTAATATCCCAATGACCTCCTTTTAACTCAATTACCTCCAAGAAGCCTTATTTTCAAATAAGATCATGCTTTGAAATACTAGGTGTCAAGACTTCATTCTTTGAAGTCTAGAAAGGGGACATACTTCAACCGGTAACACACATTAAGCAATTTCAGTACCAGGATTTTACTCCTTTTTGTGACCGAATACTATTCCACTGCATGCAATCATTTGGTTTTTGAACGTCAAGCTTACCTCCAAGAAGCCTTATTTTCAAATAAGATCATGCTTTGAAATACTAGGTGTCAAGACTTCATTCTTTGAAGTCTAGAAAGGGGACATACTTCAACCGGTAACACACATTAAGCAATTTCAGTACCAGGATTTTACTCCTTTTTGTGGCCGAATACTATTCCACTGCATGTAATCATTTGGTTTTTGAACGTCAAGTACAAGACCTGTGGGCAGTGTCTGTATCTTTAGAGCACCCTGCCTTAGGCTTGTGTGAGGTGGACCATTGATTCCACAGGTATACCTCCCAAATCTCCAGTCTGGGAGCTTGTTCTTACATTGTCATCCTTGTAGGCGGGCTAGAATACTGGACAGAGGGGAAGCCAGGTCAAGCCCCTCATCCTCTGGTTCCTTTTTAAAAATTCATTTATCTTCAGGCTTCCGCTCGCCTCTTCCTGCCCTTATCTGGTATCCTCCCTCCCGCCAAGTGCACAAACACACATTAAAAGCATTTTAAACACAGACCGGTTCTAGAGAAGAACATGACTAGAGAGGAAGTACAGCCCTTTGAGAAGACCCAGCCAGCAGCCTGCTCCGTCGTCATGGTTACTGGGCCTGGTCCCTCGGGCTGGCCACAGACTAGAGCCTGTCAGATCTTCACACTCCCTTCCATGCACCTGCCTCAGCATGAAAGAGGGGCCTTGCATGTCCTCTCAGCTTTGGAACCAATGGCGATGCTGACTTGAATGTTTCATCTGCCCTGATGTTAAAATAGATTCCTCTCTCCTATGCACACAGACAGGGGACCTGCATTCCTGCTGGCCAAGGCCCCTTCAGGAACAACTCAGCATTGGTATTAGCTTGCAGGAGACTCATGCCTTGGTAGTAGTGACCTAGTGAGCAAGCCATGATCACAGCAGAGTCAAGTCTTGACCCTGAGCAGACACGTCCCTCATGAAAAAGTTGTTTTAGTCCTCTGTCCTCTCCTCTCTCCCTCTGTTCCTCCCTCTCCCAGCCCCTCTACACAAGTGCGCGCGCGCGCACACACACACACACACACACACACACACACACACAGCTATCCGTTTTGCCACTATAGAAGTCCACTGGGGAAAGAAACTCCTGCTGGTCCTGGTTTTTTGTGTTTTGCATTTTTTTTATTATTTGTGGGTATAGGTATATTGTGTGTGGGCACACAGGCCACAGTACAAGTGTGGAGGTCAGAGGACAACTTGGGTGAGTCAAGTCTCTCCTTTTACGATGAGGATCTTGGAATTGAACTCAGGACATCAGTCTTGGCGGCAAGCTCCATTATCTGTTGAGCCATCTTGCTGGCCCAGTCTTGGGGTTTTGAGAGTAGCAGGAAGGAGCATTGAACAATTAGGAAGTGAAGACAGGATGGAAATGTTCCTGCCCTACATTGCTCTTGTTACCACTTTAGGGTTGACTTGTGGTTCCTGGACTCCACATCTCCAGTGGAACTGGATAAAAATGAGCCCGAGATATGGAAGATGGTCCTTGGTGTGGTACAGGCTTCTGGAACTTAAGTTCTTAACTGTGGGTCCACTCATGGTGAGGCCTGGGTGCTTGGAGCTTTTAAAGCATCCAGGGGGCTTAGCATGGGTGACTCGTGCCTATACTTGAGAGGCTGAGGCAGGAACATGACTGAGAGTTCCAGACCAGTCTGGATACAGTGAGAGACCCTGTCTCAAAAAACAGTACAAGGATCTGGGGATATAGGTCAGTTGGTAGAGGTCTTGCCTGACATGCATGAAGCCCTGGGTGCTATTCCCAGCACTGCATAAACCGGGCACAGTGGTGTTCACATGTGATCCCAGCCCCTGGGAAGGAAGGTGGAGGCAGGAGGACCAGAGATTCAGTGTCGTCCTTGGCTACAGAATGAGCTCAAGGCCAGCCTGGGCTTCATGAGGTCCTGTCTCAAAATCAAAACAAACAAAAAACCAAGGAAACAAAAAACCCAAAACAATAAAATACCCGAGTGGATCTGCCTTCTGGCCACCTGTGAGAACTGCTATTCTAAGAGGGAGAAGACGCAGGTGACAGTTAATCCTCTGTGCCCAGCATTGCTGCCAATTAGCTAGAAAGCAGGGACAGAAATAACACACCTTAGGCTGCCTTTGGCCAAGCCAAATAGGACACCAGCTCCATTTAACCCTGTCAGGCCAGCATGGAATGCAAGGTTCCAGTTTCCCACTTTTCCACCCTCCACCCTGGCCTTAAAGAGTGCCAGGACCCCTGGGAGCACTGCTTGGTGCAATGGCACACACGGTTCACAAGAATACACCATTTCTACATTTTGCTTACAGCCAGTTCTCAGCCGACTTCCCAAGGACAGTAGTGTGAGGCCCAAGTGACTGCTGGCTTTTCTCAGTAGAAGGTGCTGATATGATTAGTTGCTGTGTGCCCTATCATTGGAGGACAATGTGGGGGGTCATCAGAGGAAAGCTGGTGCTGACCTCTCTGTCTCCATCTCTCTGTGTGTTTTGTAGTACAAAATTGGACAGCTGTACATGATCAGCAAACATAGCCATGAACAGAGCGACCGGGGAGAAGGGGTGGAGGTTGTACAGAACGAGCCCTTCGAGGACCCTCACCATGGCAACGGGCAGTTCACTGAGAAGAGAGTCTATCTCAACAGGTAAGTCATAAGAGCAGGGGATGCACCAGGAGTCCCTCTGGCCTGTCCCCATAAGGTAAGGCCTTGAGAGATTGGGAAGAGGTCACTGGAAAGTCATTATAACCCCCCCTCAGCAGCCACCAATATTGTTACTTTCAAAACTAGAATCCATTGAGCTCCCGGAAACTCACCTGCCTTAATGGGGAGAGGCTCGCCTTTGATGACATAAGAAGAAATCTGATCTTTCCTTGGACACTGTCTGTTAGATTTGGGAAGGAGGTAGCTGTGGTTTGAGGTGGTGGGGACAGCATGGACCAAGTAGACCTCATGACTGTGAGTCTTGGGTAGTAGGATTTCCATGAAGTATCAAGTGACCATGTAGTTGTCCCCAGAGGAAACTGAAGTGACCAGAGTGATTGGTGGTGGCTAAGGTGACTTCCATTTCTCCAAGCAGAGGCAGGAGAATTCCTGGGGCTTCCTGACCAGCTAGCCTAGCCAAATCAGTGAGCTCCAGGTTCAACGAGTGTCAAAAATAATGTCGGGAATGATTGAGGAACACACCCAACACTGACCTCTGACCTCTGTGTGCATGTACAGACATACACACAGAATGTTTGTAGTGAGATTATATGAAATATACTTTATTGAAATTAACTGCTTCAGCAAACCAGGCTTGTATTAGCTTTTCCATGAGTATATTCACACGTGCACACTCACCTGCCACACTGCCTTGTGAACTGTCTCATTTGTACCCACGAGAAGCATTTCTGACATGCTGCTTGGACAGAGCCCCCAGCTTATTCACTGGCACTTGGGCATATTCTCCCATCTGCAGTGCCTTGGATGTGCTCAGCCTCTTTTTTAGAGGGGCTGTATTTACAGAGTTTCACTCCCTAGCAGGATGAACTAGACCATTCTGTCCTGAGAAGAGACTTCCAGTCCAGTAAGCAGGATGAATGGAAGTCTTCCAGGCCAGTACCCTGAAGGGACACAGTACCAGGGAATTCCTGAGTCATGATGAAATGCAAATGAGATTGATCCCATTCATCTGTTGGAAGCTGTGAATTCCCAGGTTCTGGAACCAGTTCAGGCCCCCACCCCACCCCCCACTCCACCAAATGTTGATCTACAGGAGTCACCAAGCCCCAGGTCTGGCCAGGGATGGCTTCTTTGAGACAGATTCCAGGTATGCTGCTTGGCCATTCTCAGTGTGGAAGGTATGAAGACAAGAGCAGGTTGCCTCTCAGAGATCGCCTCTGAACAAACACGAAGAAGTGAGGAAAACAGAAACTATGGAAAATTCCACTTCTGGGCTTGCAGTGGAATTCGCTTATGTTATTGCCTGGGGAATGTTCCCTATGGACCAAAATCAAGAGAAATGTTAGAAACTTTACAACTTTTGCTGAGGCAGAAGAAGTGTCCGGCTGTCTCTGTCAGTCTGTTTTCTCTATCAAAATATATGATATTTATTTTAAAGGAGAGTCATAAACATTATAAGAGGGAGATTTGTTATAAATAGATTATGTGGACTTCCAGTAATAGTAACTGGAAAGATTAATGTAGACCCTCCCCCACTTCCTATGACAAACACAGGATGAAATATAACAATATAAAGCTGAGCTTAAAACAAAGAAAGGGAAATCCTCAGGTACTAAAGTGAGAAAGGAACTTGTGCTGGAATGGGAAACAGACCAGTAAGTGCTACGGAAGCCAGGGGACATCAGAACCCACTGCAGGCTCTGCTGTCTAGGGGGCAGGGAATATGGTCTTAGGCCCACACAAATGGGGAATTGGAACTAAGAATCAGACACCTATACTGGTGTATGGCAATCAAGGTTTGAGAGAGGTTACTATCTAGAGACTCACGCTGAAAGAATCGCTCAGGCTGCAAAGATGGCTCTGCTGTTAAGAGTGCACACGCTTGTGCAGAGGACCCGAGTTCGATTCCCAGCACCCACATCAGAATCCTACAACCACCTGTAACTCCAGCTCCAGGGGATCCAACACCTTCTCTGGTCTTCACAGACAGTTGTACTCAGTGCATATACCCCTGCATAGACACACACAATGTACACATAATTAAAAATAATTTTTTTTTTAAAAAAAAGAAAAATACTAAAGGAGATACCTAACAAAGACAAAACTGAGGAAAGAGCAGAGAAGGATCTGGAAGAAATAATAAAGTAAGTGATAAACTTGGAAAAGCTGACCGGCCATAGGATGTTTTAAAAACACTAGCAATGACTAATTGGGGAACATCTGCAGCATCCAAACAGTAGACAACGGCAACAGAACACGGAAGAGACTGCGGTGAAGACAGAACACGGAAGAGACTGCGGTGAAGACAGAGCACGGAAGAGACTGCGGTGAAGAACAGAACACGGAAGAGACCGCGGTGAAGACAGAACACGGAAGAGACCGCGGTGAAGACAGAACACGGAAGAGACCGCGGTGAAGACAGAACACGGAAGAGACCGCGGTGAAGACAGAACACGGAGAGACCGCGGTGAAGACAGGACACGGAAGAGACCGCGGTGAAGACAGAACACGGAAGAGACCGCGGTGAAGACAGAACACGGAAGAGACTGCGGTGAAGACAGAACACGGAAGAGACGGCGGTGAAGAACACACTCTGAGGTACTAAAAGGTTTAGGAATTAAAGAGAGATGTTGATTGCTCTGGTTTTCTTTAAGGCAAACATGCATATTCGAAATATAAAATTAACCTCTGGAGGGATAGTAAAGCAATAAATAACTTCTAAGAGACCATACGATCCGTCCACAGAAGACAGTGAAGTAGAAATCAAATTTTGGTGGCAGTGTATACTGAAATGTCCAGTCACTTTCCCAGTTACTCTTACAGCTAGGGATGAGACCCTGTGACCTAGTTCTGGCTCACAAGACACAAGACCACCTTCCTCTCCAATACACAGAGACGGATGTTCAAGGGGCTGTCTTTTTCTGTTTGAGAGAGCCGTGATCATCTTGTAAGAAAGGAGGAGAAATCCTCCTGCATTATTTTTTTCCTAGTTGGTTCATGCCAAAGCCAAAAGACATTCTTTTAAGAGAGAGGATCAGTTACATAAATGATTTCATGTCAGTATTTTACTTGTGGTTTTATAATAAAGTGACCTCCGGGGATTTTTTTTAAAGGAGAAAGAAGGGGAGAATGGAAAGTGACTATTGAAAGACAACTGATATTGTCTATAATCTATAATCTTTGATAGCAGAACTGAACAATAAGAGTGCAGAAAGCGGTTGGGGATGTCCCTCAGTGATAGAGTGTTTGCCTAGCATATGCAAGACTGTGGGTTCCATCCCCCCCAAAAGGTTCCATCCCGCCCCCCCCAAAAAAAAAGTTCAGAAAGGAAATTTACACAAAGAAGGACATGGACATCAAACTCCTATATAAAACATTCACAAGTCAAATCTTTCACCATTACTCAAACAAGTTCATCCCTGAACTTCACTGCATTAACACTAAATAAGCCTTTGGGTATATGTGTCCACAGTAAAGCTGAGAACAACATAAGAACCCTCGCTACCACCTCTTTAATCCAACATTGTGTGATGTCACTAGCCTACACAATGAAACAAGAAAGGAAGAAACTGGGGCTGTATGTCAGTGGTAGAGTGTTTGCCTAGGGTGATGGTTAGTTTTAATTGTCACCTTGACACAAGGTAGAATCACCTGGGAAGAGAGTCTCAGTGAGGGATTGTCTAGATCGGATTGTCCTGTGGCTTGTGGGGAATTATCTTTGTTACTAAGGTTAATTGATGTGGGGAGTGTGCAGCCTGCTGTGGGCAGCACCATTCCCTAGGCTGGGGATCCTGGACTGTGTAAGTGTAAGAGAAAGGAAGCTAAGCATAAACACTCATGTATTCTTTCTCTGCTCTGGACTGGATGTGACCAGTTGCTTCAAGTTCCTGCTGCCTTGACATCCCCACAATGATGGACTGTGACCTGGACTTGTGAGATAAAATAATTCTCCCCTAAGTTACACTTCAAAAGAGAGTAGGTGTGAATGACCAGTGCACGCATATATATGAAAAATGCTCACCTTATGGGGAGGTAGGAAAGCAAGCTGAAACAAGAACAACTGGTTTCACACTGACAAAAAATAATATCTGATGATTCTGGGGATTAACAAAAATATGAAAAAAACAACTCATTTCCAGTGTTGGAGAGAGCTATAAACTGAGCTCTCTTTTTTATTTTTATGTTTTTTCGGCGTGGGGATAGTTTATTTTCAGCTTGAAGGAGGAACAGTGCAGGATACACTTAGAATATCGTTTCTTATTGTTCATGACACAACTTAAAAAAGAATCTTACTGACCAAAGACAGGGCAATAGCAGCTTCAACACAGACAAAATCTGCAATGTGATGAAATACTTGAAACATATTCAAATCCATAAGTTCATATCCATAATTTTTAAAATACTCATTAGTGACTTTGAAAGGTGTGAAAATACAGCTGGTATTATTTCAAAATTTGTAAATTAAAAAAATTTTTTTTTCCTGCATTTGACTTTATACACCTCTAAGTAAACAATGGGCTGATACCCAGAAATGTCCACAGGTTTAACAAATAAGTTAAAAAGGAATCATAGAGGTTGCCTATCAGTATTGGGCAACCCCATCCTCTTTAATGGTAACAACCATTAGCACTTCAACATGTAGCCAGACACCTAGCTGTGGTATAAATATGAAAGTCATCTGCCCAAGGGATCTGAACTGAATATGATCAAGCTTTTTTTTAAACTTAAAAAAAAAATTATCATTGCCGGGCGTGGTGGCGCACGCCTTTAATCCCAGCACTCAGGAGGCAGAGGCAGGTGGATCTCTGTGAGTTCAAGGCCAGCCTGGTCTACATAGTGAGTTCCAGGACAGCTGGGACTACAGGGAAACCCTGTCTCCAAAAAAGACCAAAATGAGCTGGAGAGATGGCTCAGCGGTTAAGAACACTGATTGTTCTTGCAGAAGACCCGAGTTCGAATCCCAGCTTCCACATGGCAGCTAA